CGGTCTTTCGGACCGAACCTCAATAAAAACTCGGCTTCTGGAGCCGATCGGACCGAACCAGACTTTTAACAGCCCTAAGTATGTGGTTTTCAGCGAACCCATGAGTTTAACTATTTTATTACCATTTGTGTATTTTATGGTATGGTAAATGGGATATGTAACAGTTATTTACTGCTTAATCGCCGATAACTCTCAGGGGCCACGGCCCGCCGTGGTCCCTGACGATATATTTGATTCGCAGTAAATAAATATTATATTTCCTGTAAAAAAAAAGATCACATTAGCGATAGATCACATTCACATGTTATAAATATATCACTGTTAGTAAATTAGACTTTCGTATGAATAATCAAAATTACCACTATATAATAAATAAAATAAAAAGATTAGCGCACTTTTGCTTGCTCTTTAAAAAACTAAAATGGAATCAAACGATACTGTATAATTTAATACTGCTCATGAGCTTTTAAATAACCCTTGTTTACAGTCTAAAACATCTAAAAGTATTGAAATTGAGATAAATAATCAGCGGCATGATTTTAGGATGATATATCCCGGTGTGATATTTTACCAGAAAATAAACTCTGATAATAAATCTGGTAAAATATCACGGGCGACCAATTAGTAAACGGGAAATATTTATACGTATATCGATATATTAATATACGTATTCACTATGATTTAATTATCGGTACGAACTGTGCAACAGAATTATCCGCCGATCGTTATGTCCTTACTGTATACGTACATACACACCCCTACAGTATATTACCGGAAATTTCAAAAATGAATTTGTCACTTTGTAACCCGATATCTCGACATCCAGTGATCCCATTCGAACAAAAATATCACCATTAGATTCGTATAGTTGAAACGAATCTAATGGTAATATTTTTGTTCGAATGGGATCATTGGATGTCGAGATATCGGGTTACAAAGTGACAAATTCATTTTTGAAATTTCCGGTAATATACTGTAGGGGTGTGTATGAAAAAAATCAAATATGGCAGCTATGTTTAATTTGTAAAGAATCGGTCTATATATTTAACAAAAAGGAATAGAAATTTTTTTGTTTTCAACCTTTTGTGTAGTCTTCTAAATAGAGGTCTGAATCGATCATATTTTTGTTATATAATCGATTATCCAGTCATTCATAGCCAAGTCAATCGATTAACTAAGGATTCATTTAATCACAAATCGCATCATTCAGAATGACCCGTCGATTCAGTTAATTGCAAATCGGATCATTCAGATGATCCATCGATTCATTTAATGAGAAATCAGAAGTACGTATACAGTATTCGATCCAAGGTAATAAATTATGACATAACAGATAGCGGTTTTAATACCCTAGCCACGGCAAAAAAGTGTCGGTCACGTGATAACACAACCAATAAGAATGCGCAAAAATTATGCGCAACCAATAGGAATTTAGCAAATTTTTGATCAACCCGGCAAAACAAATCCGACACAAGAAAATAAAGACAAAAAATGCGAAAAATACAAAAAACAGATATCTAAATCTAGCTTTGTACACTATCAAAAAATGTCGGGAAGACAATTTTATATATAACTTTGATCTCAGCTCTAACCCTAATACTTGATATCTAATATTAATCGGATATTTTAATGGACTAATATCAGATCACGTGACCGACACTTTTTCGCTGTGACTAGGGTATTATAGCGGTTTGGGTGATGCTTACATGTTAATTTTTTCTAAGCTTGAAAGATTATGTACATAATTTTGTTATTATTTTGATATTGATATATGAAAAGAATCATAGTGGTATGGATGTAATATACAGCTGTGTTTAATTTGTAAAGAATCTGGTTATGTATTTAGCAAAACGGAATAGAATATTTTTTGTTTTCAACCTTTTGTGCACCGTTCATTTGTATGAGCATATGACATTATAGATAGCGGTTTGGAAAGATTGCTATTCATAGATTAAAGCTTGAAAGACTATACCCATAATTTTATTGTTATTATCATTGGTATATGGAAAGAATCATAGTGGTATGGTTATGTATTTTAACAAAAAGGATCGTGCAGTCTGCATATGACATAATAGATGGCGGTTTGGGAAATTGCTATTCATGGGTGATGCTTACACTCGGCAACAAGTTAATTTTTTCAAAGCTTGAAAGACTATACCCACGATTGTTTGGCCTCAGTTTATGAAAGCATAGCTGAGTCAGAGTCCATTTCGCCTTTATCATATTAAAGACACTAGCAATTAAATTAAAATAAAATAAATGTATGCAGTAGTAGTCAGCATAAAAATCACATCGTGTGAATTTATTGATCAAAGATATGGAAATTCAAATTTTTACTCCGTTCATTAATAAATTTACGTTTTAATTTATAGAAATTCTGCACCACAATGGACAATGTATTTTTTAAATGGACACACGAAGAATGAAAATTACCTAAAGCGATCAATTACATGTCACAAGTACGTACAGATGAACATATCAATATACATAATGTAATAGTATTGGAAATTTTTATAGAACGCACTCGTAATCATGCTTAAACGTCTGGTTTATGAACTATGGCAAGTTTATACTGTTGACAAACTACGGCAGTGCAAGAAGATATGATGTATAGGACTTTCCGTTCCGAAAAATGAATATCCCTCTTTTCTCGCATCTATAAAAACGCGAACAATTCAGACTCTTTCTCAACATTGGAAAACAACAAGATCCAATAAAGATCACATTTCAAATTCAAAACGTCCACAGATTTTTTATATTCTACAAGATCCAATAGACCACATATTTCATTCAACATTGAGTAATTTAGTCAAAACGAAAATGAACAAGCAAATATTTTTCTTTGTTGCTCTGATCTTGATCTTCACCTTCTCTTCATCAGTTCATGCCATGCCTGCTGAGACTCCAGAACCCGAGCCTCCGAAAAATACTAGCTATTATCTTTCTCCTCCTCCGCCTCCTCCAACAAATGATACATGTTGTGATTGTGAGATCTTCTATTGCAATTTCATACCTAGCAAGACCGATCCAGAACAAAAAGTGCTCGGCCACATTCAATTCCAACAATTTCCCAATTGTACTGTGAGGGCCACTGGTATTGTAAATATATGGGATCCTTGCGATCCCAAATGCGAATACGATCGCGATGAACGAGTCTACGATATCCATGTACTTAATGGGGGTTATCCGCCTAATAAAGACAGTTCCATCGTCGACCTGGAGGATATTGTGAACAGCAGTGGTGATCTTGATTATCCTTTTCAAAGTTTTATATACATTCCCGGCTCACTCTCACTTTTAAGGGAACCTTTTGCTAATCTCGGCAACAACTACACGTGTGTAGTGATGTACGAACGTTACGATGATGATGTAATGCTTGGCTCTGCTCCTATCACAAAACCTTAAACCTTTTCTATAACTACCTACTGCTACTTTGACTCGTTCATAAAGCATGTACGATAAGAGTTTATTTGATAGTTTTATAAATTTTAATATTTTGTTTCTATTCTGTTATTGTACTGACTCGGAAGTTTTTGTACTATCTTGGAATTAAATATACTTAACTGAAAAAATTTAAAAGTGAATTGCCGCTGAAGCATGTGTTTAGATACTAATTGCTCGTGTAATACTGAGAACATGTTCTGGCCCCAAAACTTGAGTCTCAATGAATGCATTATATAGCAGAAAAGTGTCCTTCACTTTCCATTTCAGTTTGTTCTCAAAATCGACAAGTAATGAAATTGTCACTGTTAGAACATTTAAGTAGAAAATGATACATGTATTCATCTGTTTCTATCGCAAGTTTTTGACTAGCTTGGCGTGCACTTAAAATTTGACCCTTGATAATTTGAGTAATCAGATACAAGATATGTATGGCAGAATTTCGAGAATATTAAAATTGAGTAGCTTTATCTATCAAAATAAGCAAATACCATTATATTTAAATTCGAGAACTCTGAAATTTGTAAGTGCGCCAAGAAGTGGACAATCTAGAATTTTAAATAAAAAATAATAGGAATTCATTAAAGCTTGAAATAACAATTGATTTTAAGATGTTAACATTTACAATTCATAGGAATTTGCATAAGATTTGTTTTTTTGAGAGTAATAGCACATAGTGCTCCAACCGAGTCGGGTCCAATCCGTGACCCGACCCCGGGAACGCACATTTCGGGTCGGGTCGGGTTTGGTCAAACCCGAAATATTTCGGGTCAGCCTAAAAATCGTTGTTTCTCGTTCAATATTAATTGAAATTACACAAATATTTTGTGGCTATATACACAATTACATCCCAAACAACTCTACTTAGGACACAAAATACAAGTGTCTTAGTAAAAATAAATGTTATTAACGACAAGCTATTTTACGATTTTCGGGTCAAGCCCGACCCGACCCGAACAGAGCTTTAATAGCACAGTAAACCTTTTATTAAATAAAAGTAAAGAGAAAGGCGTATTTAGAAATGAGAAGTAGAACAAAACCGGATTTAAAATCTTTCGTAAGGAAATGACAACTGTTTTACAGCTGATAAATGTTAATATTGCTCCCTTGTAAAGCATACTGATTAAATTCAGTGACTTTTATGACATCATCACCATAAAAGTTAAAAAAAATCATGTAAATTTTAGTTAATAAAAGCATAAACTATGCGAATTAAGGCCCCAAATTTTTCGGTTCATATCGTTATGCCTGTAGATCGTAAATTCAATTTAAAAATATGTTAACATTAATGTTTTGCTTGTTAGATTTATTTGCATGTTCATGCAAATATTAGATTGTTGGTTCGCTTAATAAGTTAGCGTTTGGGTCACCTCACAGGTAAAAGCGGTCAGGTTTACCAAAGGTGTAAGGTAGGGCTCCTCTCGAGCCTAAATTTTATATGTAATTTAATAATATCGGTTTAAACCCTATTAATTAAATTATATATATGCGAGTCGTATGCGAGCCAACGAGCCGAGCTTTTCGGAGCCCTAGTGTAAGGTTTCCAATTCTATTCAGGTTTATTAAAAGTTTACCAAGGTGATAAACTAGCGCATTTACATAATGTTTAACAAGTTTATATTGGTTTTGAATAAGTTTTCAACTTATATCGGTTTACTTGAAGTTTTAATAATTATAAACCTTTGGTGCCTGTAATCAAAAGATTTGCCACATACAGTCACTTTAACACAATAAAACAGTAAATTATCAATTATCCATAATTGATAACGATAAATTCTATGAATTTGGATTACCGAATCTTGAATTATTCTTCATCCCCAATAACTAATAACCACAACTAAGAAACAAACTCAGATATGTTCGATCATGCAGTACTGATATTTATCCGTAAAAAGTATAACTTGAAGTAAACCTTGTGTGTCATTCGAGTCAAAATCGTTAATGAGGAATGTTAAACAATTACTTATGTTGTACTTTAACAATAAAAATGACTAAGGATAGTTAATGAAGTTGCATTATTTTTTATTACGTGTAGAGCAAGCGCATCATGAGCATTTAACATCAGTTGATTCTGATATATTTCTTTAAAGTAATATTTTTTATATTTGCAAGCTATTAATTTCAAATCAATCTGCATGCACTATGACCTTTACGTATCGGTATTGTATTATTTTACGAGTCATAAAAGCTAGATCATTATTTATTTTGCATAACACCTAAACTCATCAAAGACTATTTTATCATTTACTTCTTAAGAAGTTTATCGAATTCATCATTTGATGGGTTCAGGTGTTATGCACCATGTTACGTATTGGTTTGACCTAGTACTAGTCTCAAGTTGGTGATTTTATAGATGAAAACCCCAGTTTAATTGTTATATGAATAAATGCTATTGGTTCAATATTTTTAAACTGCAATTTAAACCATGGGTATTAGATAATGTTATTAAACTGATATTCGGTTATGGGATAGTTTGACGAGTTTCACACAAGCGCAAAACCACAGCTAAGCTAAAAGCTTGTTGATCGCATACATTGACGACAAACTATGTCTTTTTTTGTCGTCGTTTCAAAGAAAGTTTTCCTTTGTGTGCATTTTCGATATGCTCGCTAAGTATTGTGGAGTTTGTTAGTTTATATGTCTTTCTACACTTATACATAAGAAATAATTTCAACATGTTCATTTCTTATTTTATAGAAAAAATTCACACACTGCTGAGATTTTCTTTCCTCCTTTGCGGTTAATATTTGTAGTATTTGTTTATACGACTCGAACTTGCAATAATGGAAAAATCTCTGGTTCGTTCATAGTAAACACGTTTTTATATGTAATAAACCAAAAAAACGCGATATCTTGTATGAAAGGAAATAATAAGGACACGCGAAATAACTAATATAAATTTAAAACGCAAAAAAATGGAGAAACTGATAATAATATGGCTAATACATTAAGGAAATTATAAACCAGTGACCCAAACTGTGACTTTTCACACTCGTAGTGCAGCGTCATAGTTCTAATTCGGGGAGTCAAACCGTTTCGGTCCCAGCTTCAAATTGGGTTTGCTCCGGTTTCCTATACGTACAATGACTCGCACAAGAAATGGAACACGCGATCAAAACTTTCTAGAATTTTTATCTTCGTCAATATCATCCCAAATAAAATAAAAAAGTACTCATCTTGAATCACAAGATCTCTAGTATTTTTTTAAAAATATTTTGACAACAGATTATTTTAGTCCATTTTGTAAAACTGGGTAATTTAAATCAAAATTTTCAATTAGTAGCTTTCTCGCATCGAAGTAATTTTTTTCTATGACGGATTCAAATTTGGACTACTAATTAAAAAATGTTATACTCTACAAAATCCGCATGTGTACTAATTTTCACAAAATCTATCGATATTTAAGATCCAGGAGGTTCGAATCTCTGCTAGGAGCATTAATTCGATTATTTATTTACTAACAGAGAAGTAAACCTTCAGGATCTTAAATTTTGAGCCAGTTTCTGTGAAAATTGTTACACGTGCGGAATTTGTAGAGTATAACATTTTCTAATTAGTTAGTGGTCCAAATTTGAATCAGTCATAGAAAAACAGTACTTCAATGTGAGAAAGCTACTAATTGAAAATTTTTATTTAAATTACCCAGTTTTACAAAATAATCTGTTGTCAAAATATTTTTAAAAAATACTAGAGTTCTTGTAATTCAAAACGAATACTTTTTTATTTTGTTTGGGATGATATTGACGAAGATAAAAATTCTAGAAAGTTTTGATCGCGTGTTCCATTTCTTGTGTGAATCAATGTACTGTTACAGGTTAGTGGCCGATTATAGAAATTGGCGGTTAATCTGTAACTTGGGTGGGAGAAACGAATTAGATCAAGATTATTTTAATTATTAGTTTTTCTAAGTCCCGCGCCAAAGTAAGTAATTATTTTTAAAGTTTTTTTATTGCTTTATTGCCAATTCTCTCTTTTTGAATTGCTCTTTCTCACTCTCATTATATACATTTTTGGTTTCTGTAATTTACGGCGTAATTTACAGTGGAATTTACGGTGTAAATTGAGTAATTGGCGGTGTAATTTGCGGTGTACGTAATCAGAATTGATTGACATAAATAAAAAATCAATGCGTTTCTAAAAGAAGATTTAGTGTTACCGGTGTAACAGTACATGTATATAAGTTACATGTATTACGTAACATCCCTAATTGTAATTTTATCAAACTTGAGATCAGAATTTGGTTAGTCGATCACGTAACGGTAATGGTAATATCGACATCTGTAACATGTGCTGTTGCGTCTTTCTGTAAGAAAAAAGTACATGTACCAGTACCTATCGCTATCGAGTACAACAGAAAAAAATGTCGGAAAAACAGCAAAAAATATCAACGTCTTCTACTTCTGCTTCTTCATCGAGAACATCCAAAAGAAAAAATGTATGTGGATTGTTAAAGCGTATTAAGCAATAATGTAAATACAAAAATCAATCTTCCACTTATAACGATGACTCCAACAACAGCAACCAGAAAATATAAATCCTGTAAGTCACACAATCATATCGATACTTACCGTTACATGTCTAACTATAACGATAGCAATTTATTTTTTATTTTGATATATAAGATTGGTGATACTGAGTACAACATGTTGATACTCCAAATAAAAAACGGTGCACCTAGAACACCAGACGTATTGGTTTTTCAAATACTCAGAAATTTCAATCGATGCCGAACTCAGAATTATGTAATTTTGATTTTAAAACATCTATGTAATTATTTTTTCGTGCTAAAGATTCTTTTAAATAGATTCAGGAACAACTACCAACTCACTATACAATCAATCAAATTCTCGGCAGTTATCTTGACTCGCGCTCAACAAATCTGCAATTTCATTTTGATCTTGTAGATAAAATAAAAGAGTATCTGAACGTTCACTCTGAAAGAGTATTATATCCTGTAGAATTAGTTGAATGGAGAAAGTTAAAGAAAGTTCATCCAGACATTGATTTTACCACCATATATGGTGGACAGCAATTGCTAGAACTATTCCGTAGGTTAATTAGTCAAATGTTATTATACTCGACTTATTTTATCTACTAATGTATTCGCTTAATTAGATAAATTACCGTGGATTTACATGTGCGAAAGAAATTTTAGAAAGAACCCCGCCTTGCAACAATTTTCTCAACAGAAATTTGTTCAGGTATCGGGAGAAAATCTTCTAAAACAAGATAATTTAGTGGAATTGTATAAATTCCTGGAAGACAACATATGTACGTACTATGTTTCTGCCTGAATAGTCGATTAGTTGGTTAATTTTTTGCTGTGTAACTTTGAAAATAAGTTATAAATATAATTCGAACCAATGCATATTACTAATATTCTTTTCTCAGATGTACGATTAAGCTTTTTCTGTGTGTGTTATTTAAATTTTAGCATGCTCCAATATTAACTTGTTTATACTATGTATGTCTTGGCACTTGGTTCACTGCGTTGTTCGTATATAACCAAAAAAATGGTCTAACCGTTATGATTTAATTCGATTCATATTTTTCAAATCTATGTTACCAAATGCGTATGAGTAAAAAATCTACATGTATATTGAGCTGTGCCTCGCAAGTGCTGTACGTGCTCGAAAGTAAAATATTTTTTTTGACCCAAAGAATTCAGCGATAGAAAAATTCGATTACGCAGATCACATTAAATCACGTGATCAATATATTGTTCGAAAGCTCAAAAGCTAACCATTTTATTATCATAAATTTAATACGCGATTCTTTCACCATAATTAACTGACAACGGCGTGACATTGAATTTATTAAATTTTTTAAAGTAATATCTGGCAAAGCATTCCATTCCTCCATTACAAACTGTTCCAATTCGTTTAGATTTTGCGGCATTCGTTTTTATACTTCACGTTTAACAATTGCCCATAGATTTTCGATAGGATTTAGGTCCGGACTTGATGACGGCCAATCAAGAACTTCAGGTACATTTTCCGCAAGACACGTCCTAGCTCTACCGCTTGTATGCTTGGGATCGTTATCTTGTTGGAAACGCCATTTTCTCCCAAGCATTTCTTTAATTTCCCCGAAATGTGCTGCAAAATTTCGACATAAAAGTCAGCATTCATAATACCCCGAAAGCAAAATAGGCGAGTTTTTCCCTTCGCACAAAAACCACCCCACGCAAAAATTTTTGTACGGTTTTTTGGCATTGGACGGACTGGTCGTTTACCCCTTATACCAATGATTAATTGTATTTGGAAATAGTTGGAATGCCGTTTCATCAGAAAATAAAGTTTTTTTCCAGTCATCATTACGATGACGTTTGGCCCATTGCACCCGGTTCTTTTTTTTAATTTCTGTTAACATCGGTGTAGCAGTTGGTCGATTTTTTGTATATCCAGGCGATTTTAAATGTCTACCAATTGTACGATATGAAATGTCTACTTCCTCGGTACTCAGTTTAGTAGAAATTTTTCATAGGGACATAGAATAAGTTTTACGAATATATTGACCCACCTTTCTTGATATACGCGCCGTAATTTTTTTAGGACGTCCATTACCACCTTTTGCTGAATTGTTCCTGTTGATTCTAATTTTTTGACATTGTACCGGACAGTTGAGATAGGTAGGCCTGTGAGTTTACTTAGTTTTAACACAGAACGTTCACCTTCGTACCAATAACATAATAGTTTTTTTTCTTTAGTTCAAAAGTAGATTGTTCCATCTCCAAGATGGATAATGCAAAAAGACGCAAAATTAGGAATAATGAAAATAAAGATCATCACTCGAGTTTTATTTGTATTTGATTTTTTTGTCACTGACTGTATATACAGTAATAATAAACTTTTTTCAGCTATAATAGAATACTTTTCTAGGCATTTTTATCGAACATACACTAAAAGATGATAGAGAAAGAGTTTTCTATTTGTTGGTGCAAAATTCCTCATTATAAAAAATCACATCATAACATGTTTCTTCTTCACATTTACACATCATAAAAAATAACTACCGCTACGTATCTATCGTCATTCCTGTTTATAGTAACCGTATGTAAAATAGAGTGAACCAGTACGTAGACACTAACGTTAACACGTCTATCGCTACGGGACGTTATTTTACCGTGTACGTATTAGTACATGTATAAGCAACCTGTGACATTGCCTTTTTTAGTAATTTTTTTTATTTAACACATTAAGTTTAGGGGTTTGTGGTAGTACCGTAATCATTTGCCAATACATCGATAATACATGTAATAAGTAAAAAATTAAAAATTTGCAGTTGCGAAAAGCTAGTTACCTATCACGAACGTATAATAAAATAGTTAATTAAACTTAATACGTGTAGACGTTGCGAAAAGCTACTTACCTATTTATTAGGGCTGTGGCCAAACCTAGTTTTGATTACAAACTTTTTTGCCGAAAATATAAATTTTATAGCCGAATCTTAGTTTTTTTTTTACTTAAATTGAAACTATAAATTAGATCCAATATAATATACAGACGTACTACGTACATGGTATTTTGTATGGTAAATTATGGTAAGCGCCCTTCCTGTAGAAAATTTACATCTTGATTTAGTAAAACAAACTTTATTGTTTCTGCAAAAAGAATAAACAAACTTCACGGTGCAATTTATTCAAAATTTTAATTTTATTACAGAGATTCTTTTACGATAATAGAAAATGCAGATTTGTTGCGCAAGCAAATTTGAACCAGAGTCATATTGTTCCTAGAAGAAAATTTACATGTAAAAATTTGATATATGGGATAAGTTTTGATATATGGAGAAACCAAGCAGATTACAATTGCGTCCCATTTATATCTTCAATACTTAGAGAAATATAAACAAGATACCAGTTTAAATCCGAAATTTAATTAATCTGTTATATAGTTGGACGCCTAAACCATGTGATGCTATTTAGCACACGGTTCGGTTTTTACAACTCTATAGCCGTAACTCGTGACAATTAAGCGTCACCGGTTTAGGCGCCCAACTATAATCTGTTACAATAAATTAGAGTTTCATCTATTATATTAAGAAATTAGAGTTTGAATTTAAACTAGCACAGCTATATATATTTCTTTAAATACAACTATAATTTGCTTGGTTTTTATTAACTCACTCCATATGTTTGTTAAAAAACATGAAATGTATGATATATTTGAAAAAGATCAGTGAAAGAGCATAAATAAATACATACATAAAATGTAAATATAAAAGATTAAAATTTGTATACCTACAATTTTTATGCACTTACTCGATTTACATATAATGTGCTTTTTGCTTATATGTTGCATATTAATGCTACTTCAAACCTTATAATTATCTGTTCATAGTCATATCTTTTATAATGATAATTGAGTCAAGTCAAAAATAATTTAATTGCAATACAATTAAAGTAATAGTATTTTATATAATATAATTATAGTAAAATGAGTATAAAAAGATTTGATTATATACTTTTTATAGTTTTATTTTTTTATAATTATTATTTTTCAAAGTAATAATTATAAAGAGATTTAATCCTATATTATATATTAACAATTTTTTAAATAAACAATTTTAATTATTAAAAGTGAAAAAATTATTGTATTATTAAAGAAAATCAAATTATTTAAATATTTCAAGTTTAGTATTATAAATTATTTAAGAAATAATAGAAATAAAGTAGAATAAAATAAATTATACAAATTTGATTTTTATTGAAAAAAGCAATTATATCTTGATAAATATTTTATATAGTATACAATCAATTCTTGTTATAGTGTTATGTTTTTTTAAGAATAAAATTATATTTTTATAATTCTGTTATAATTCTATTTTATCTAATATAAACTTATAATAAAATATAATATAAATTTAATTTTCTCAGAAAATGTTTAGTCAAATATATCAGATTTTTTATAATTGATAAATCATAATTCATGTATTTTTATTAATAAGTATATTTTGTATTAAAATACACTACTAATCTTATCAAAACTTTTCAGTTATTTCTTATATCATCAAAAATGAGCAAAGAGCTTTCAAACTGACTCTCAAAATTATCTGATATAAATTTAAATTATGGAATAAATTGAAAATAAACTTATAAATTAAGTGATTTAATTTTAGATTATGACTAAAATCTCGAACAAAACCTAATTATCTTGCTGAAAATAAATACTTTACTCAAAACTTTTATTTGTTACCGCATGTAATTAATTCCAATTATTTACATAATTTGAAGTTTCATTAACATAACGGTAATGCTCTTCAAATTTGTAAGTGAAAATACAAAAACGGGTTCTTTTACTAATTGGTTCATCTTCCATTTTCGATATTTTATCCATATCGATATTAATACATGTACAGTACCACCCAAAAAATAACGCCTGATTTAAAATTATATAGTAAATACATATAAAATTTTTTGTTGATTTTCAAAAATACAATTGAATAGCCTTTAAAATGATATAAAATTTAGAATAGAAATATAACTTGAAATTTTCAATTTTCATATATAAAGCGTGTGAAAATTTTTTTCATATACATGTATAAAACGTGTGAATTTTTTTTTACTTTCCAATCTTGCATTTTAAGTTGCCACAAGTCTTGTATTACATGTATTTTAGACATATGCAATGGAGGTCACCAATAAAATGGGATATTTAAATGGTTATACATGTATCTCATAATCTATAGTGAACTCTAGATATCGATATAGTGAATTTCTCAACTCAATATAATGAAGTTATATAATATTCTCTCGATATAGCTATAGTGAAGATTTTTTTCCCTTACCCAGATGTCTTCATTATAACGAGGTTTGAATGTACATTACACAAAAAATCCTCTTTATACAAATTGTAGCTGGATCAAATGTAAAAAGACTTTTTGTGTCATGTATAGATTATGAGATACATGTGTAACTATTTAAATATACCATTTGATTGGATGGCTTCTGATGAGCCCACTATAACTTGAAAATTTCCATTTTTATATGTTTTATTATATAAGTTTAGACCGGGCGTTACTTTTTGGGGGATACCACACATCATTTCTTACGCTGTAACGTATCCACACCTGTATGATTCAAGAAAAACATGGATAGAATGTAACGTACCCGGGGTATTTTGCTCGATAAAATACGGCATTATAATTTGAACAAATGTATTTGTAATAACTGTTATTTGTAACAACCGCATTTTAATTGGCTAATTAAAACCTAGTTAGGGTTATGGTTAGGGTTAAGATTCTGGATATGTGATTGGTTAGTAACAGTTGTTACAATTAGATTAATATTATTTGTTTTTGTAGCTACATTAAATATCGCATTATATTTTTGATATCGATATTAGTACAGTTACGACTTATGCATAACATTTGTGGAACTATTTTTGTGAGGCAATCATGTGGAAATTAATGAAAAAACGTGAATTCGAAATACACGTATGTTGAACAAATACTGAATTTTTTATTCGAGGCATATTAACGTATCGGTATTATACAAGTATTTCTAAATACATGTACTGTACTTATCGTCGTTAATTGAAAAGCAAAAAAACTTGAAATTTTAGTATAACATACTTCAGAACATCAAAGTATGTTTTTAGTTCCCTCACAATTATTTTATGAACATGTGAACTGTCACTAAAATTTTGTGAAATATTTGTTTAGTTATAATTTTCTAAAGAGTGATTAAGTTTAATATTGCATATTTTATTTGCATCTACATTCAAAACGAAGTACATGTATAATTAAATCTCGATATAAAGATGTTTGGATTTGGCAATAACTTGTAATTCGTTATAAAAGTACAGTAAACCTTGATGTAATGAAGACGCCAAGAATCTTACTAATAGTCTGGCCACCTTCGTTATACGTATACAGTTTTGATTGTATAAGCAATATCGATATGAATTTTTTTTTTGCACTATCAATAAAGTTGCAGTGAATATGCTTTTTTTATGCAATATTTTTTTTGAAATATAATTTATATATATTAGATTAAAAAGACTTGAAAATTTATTCAGAACATGTTGAATCTATATGCTTAGAACATTAATACAAGTGTTTTCCCACTATTATCCGCGAAAAAGTGTCCTGTTCACCGAGTGTAGTAAGCATAGAGATATATTGAAAGAAGAGGGCATCAACAGGTTATTAAATACTGTAGTACGTATTCTTTATATTAAATACATGAAGTGTTTGGCGAATTTTTGCTGGAAATTTTAGTTACAACAAAATTTTATGCCTAATCCTGAAATTGACCATGAACAAGGTCATAAATTAACAAGTTTGAATGAGGTTTACTGCTAGAACAGTAATCAAGAATAATAGAGAATAGTACCAATATTATCGTTACCGTTACGAACATACGGATTTATAATTGCAAATTTATCTTTGCCCAATTATAAAAGTTGCCCAATGAAAAAAATTAGGCATCAAAATTTGGTAATACGTACGTAAATCAAAAAAACTTTAACGTCATTGTGATAAAACACAACGCAAAATATCACAGCAGAGAACAAGAAGGTATCCTTGACACTCGCCAAAAATGAAATTACACAAATTTCTTTTTAAACATGGTAATTTCGGAAAAATGATAAGGATACCATGTATTAATTTAGATTTCCATATATTTAAAGTTCTATATAATTCTACCACTACGTACGAAATGATCTATCGTTATAGTTATTGAGATTCAAAAGCCATATACCATATATGGATAACAATTGATGTTTTTTAATTATTCGTTTTCTCAAATCAAATCTTCGTGTTAAATGACAAAGTTTATTTTTTATATTGCATTTGCAAATTGTAAATTTAAATTTTGAATTTTTTCGAATATAATAAAGAAGGTTGTTAATATAAATAGCGCCTCAATTCTCCGAGTTGACTTTACTTAAAAACGAATGACAGTTAATCTCAACTTATAATTAGCGTGTATTTTCTCATTTGAATAACAAGTCTAATAAAGTGTTTTTCTATTCTCCCATCTAAAAATGTCCAAATTCACAAATGAATTAACACGACGAGAGGAAAAAGGACTCGTTGATTTGGAAAAATTTCCGCACACACGGAACGACTTTCCTATGATTTTAACTGTTGCTCGGATTCTCTATCGTGTTCAACTGAGATGTTTTTCCCAGGATGGAATAACAGATTTGGACATTACAAAGATCCTAAACAACGAGCTTAACCGATTGCAAATGTGCCCAAATCTTTTCGTACCCATCGAATCTTATCATCGTGTAAATAATCCCGGCACTTTTAATTTCGTTGATCAATTGACTAATTCTCAAACACCGCTCGACACAATACGTAATTTACTCACGGGTGACATTGGACCGCGCAAACACAAAGGAGAGAAGACGAATATTCGTCGTATTTACAAGAATCTTCTCGTTTTAACGGAAGATTTAAAAAAAGCGATAGTCCAAAATAGTCAAAGCAATTTAAAGGAATCAACTAAACACGATTTCCATCACATAAATTTTTCTCCGACCAAATCTCTTATATCTGAAGAAGGTGATGAAGCAACAATTATTGAGCCACCACTTCCTATTCTTTGGCTTCCGACTTTAACGAATAAAGAGAAAATAACTCAGCGTAAAGCATCCGCTTTCTCTTTGCGTAAGCGAAAAGGATTCAATACTTCGACAAAATATCGACATAGATTATTGAGAATGCCACACGTACAAGCCATTAGTAAAAAAACTTGCGCAACTGGTAGCATCACAAATTCTATTTTGGGTATTAGACAAAAAAATTTGGCAACTGTTGCAAAAATTTGCATGCCATCCGAGTCAATTATTATAGATATAGAAGACTATCAATATACTTCATCTTCACGCTCACGTCCAACACGTGCAGGTCACGGCGATTACGAAAAGCAAGGCAAAAATCTAATGTCTCTTCAAAATTTGGATAATCCACTTCCGTCTGACTCTTCTTCTAAATTAAAGTCAGCTTTCTCACAAATAGAAGATAAAAATCATGCTAATAACAGCAACAATAGTTCTGACAATTCAGATTTAATCCGAAGTCTTCCATCGATAAACTACGTTTTAAATTCTATACCTAGATCTGAATATGTGAATGAAAATTGTTCTTGCCAAAAAAGACTGACATTTGATTTTCGCCAGTTATGCCTTTGCATTACATCGTTGAAGCATAATGTGCATTAGTGTTAATAAATATTTTTCTAATTTATTTATTATAATTGGTATATTTAGTAATAATAATATTCTAATTAATATATTTTTAAACTTCGTCTTCTAATTTGTTTCTATAAGTATATATTTTTCCTTGTACTCATTAATTTACGTTTCGTGTTTCATTTAATATTTTATTATCCATATTCTGTCTGTTCTTTACTTTTCAATCCTGTTCTTTCAATTCTGTTCTGTTCTTTTCTATCTGAATAAATTACTCTATCGAGCATTGCAATGTTGGAGATAATTTAAGCTAAATTATAGAATTTTGTATAACTTTGGCTGAAATTTGTCATCTTATAAAAAAAGCAAACACGTAAAAATCCATAGAAACTTTAAGAGGTTCAAAATGGCAATAGGCGCCATAAGTATTCGGGATTTTGATATTGTGCATAGCATAGCGAAAAATTGACATGTCTTTATATCTGAAAACCACAAAATCATCACACTTTTGCTCAATAAAATCATTGATCTCAATATATTCTACTTTTTTTATCGCAAGGAAAATTGTTCATTATATTACAGAAAGCGTGTTATAAATTTTGACATAAGTATCAAGTAAATCTGTTTGCCATATAAAAAACAAATTTCTAATCACTCGTTATCAAACAATCAAAATTCCGATTACTTATGGCGCCTATTGTACGTATAAGCATGCATGGGAAACGCGACAAATTCCGTAGATATAATAACTATACGAAATTTGACATTCCATGCCTATACATACCATTTTCGTGTCAAACCTTAGTTATGTATACGAAATTTGTCGCGTATCCTGTGCTTATACGTACAGTTCCGGCGGAAAGTAATGACGGGACGATTTTACCTATACGTAGTTAACCTCTTTTAAAGACCGGAATATAACGATAACGATAATATTTCAATGAATACCTCTCCTGAAATGTATCTCTGACTGTAATGTGAGTAATTGTAACACAGAATTAATCATTAAGAGCATCACTTTAACATAAAATTTTACTAAATCAAAAGTTTTCGCCCATAAAAAATCGGATTAAAAGCTATGTAAATTATTTAGTAAAGTAAAAATTGTGTAAAAAAATCGAAATAACAGTTATATATAGCGATAGTAATTCTGGCTAAGTAAAAGCCGCCCCGGTCGGTTGATTTTACTAAAAAAGGAAGCTAATATACATGTACATGTATATCGATCAATATGGTATACAGTGGCGATCAAAAGTAATGCAACAAATTATTAAAATTACTTATTATAATATATTTCCACAAATAGCTAGTAAAATTTTATTAAATTAATAAATATAGTACATGTACATTAATACATGTAGTACCAGTTTTATGTGTCAAAAATTTGTTGGCTATCGCTATTGTTAATACCAATTTTGGAATAATCAAATGACTTGCACAAAATGCATGTTGCCTTTCTTTTGACTCGTTTTCTTATCAAAATATCAAGTTGCATAAAAATCACTAAAAAAGCAATTTTTTGGTGATCTATCATTTCTTGTCCAATGTTGCCACTGCTTAATAAACAAACAAAGACATCAGAATGAATGTCATACAATTCCAAATGAAAGAGCAGAAATTATTATTTCACTTAATAAAGGATACATTACGCGAGAGATAGCTAGAGCACGAAATATTAGTGCATCCACAGTGTCTCGTATATATAAAAAATGGTGTGAACATACACTTGAAGATGCAAGCAAATCCGGTCGTCCACGTATTCTAAATGAGCAGCAAGAATGACAGACAGTTCAGTTTATTACTTCTCATAATTGCTCCACCACTGTTTGAAATCATCTCCGTGAAATTGAAAATATCAAAATCTCAGAGCCAACTATTCATCGTACACTAAACAGAAATGAATTAGTATCAAGAATCAAAGAAAAAAGCCATACCTGAAGCCAGAACATCAACAATATCAACTCCAATTTGCTGAAAAGTATAAAAATTGGACCAATGAAGATTGGTCAAAGGTAATATGATCCGATGAATCGAAATTCAAGATTTTTGGATCAGACAGACATGAATATTATTGAAAATGACCCAACTAAACAGTCATCATATTAAACTTACAATTAAATTTAGTGGTGGAGGAGTAATTGTGTGGGATTACTTCACTTCTCGTGGTATTGGCAACTTTTGCAAAATTGATGGAATAATGAATAGTGAGTTATATTGATTAATTCTTATAGAAGACCTATTGAGCAACATAATTTTGCTATTAATGATGTTATCTTTCAACAAGATAACGATTCCAAGCATACAGCCAGTGATATAAAACAGTGATTCGTTGATAATGGTATGAAGATACAGCAAGTATAGGAAAAAATTGATATTGATTATTCTATGCCGGAATGAATTAATAATGTAACACAAGCCAAAGATGACTATACAAGATGATAGAGGGTATTTGATTTATATTATTATGTATAAAAAAACTACAGAAATGTAATATTTTTATTTTATTATATGATTTATGCTCAAAAAGAGCAAAAATAATGCAACAGCAAAATTTGAATAAATGCTGTGATGATGAAATAATTGGTTTAATAATTCGTGTCATATTTATTGTATTCGAAACTACTGCTCATACTCAATTGAATCTATTAATTGTGATTTGATATTTTTAAGTCTGTGTGAAAATATTGTGATTTGAGAAATTTTAATTATTTGTTACATTACTTTTAATCACTACTGTATATAGACGGAACAGAGTTGAGAGATAACATTTACTTACAGAATAAAGAATGTGTATTTATCAATAAGTCACATTATGAAACTGAGATGTGACATGCACTTAAAGAGAGATCGTATTTATGGAGGTTGCATTTAGGGAGAGTTGACTGTATATATTTCCATCATATTTAAATTGCAATATTATGTGCAGTAAAAATTATTTGTGTTTTGAATTTCATTTATCGTTATAAAAAAGATTTGTAAGGCAGTCAGTAATTTTTCATGAATACGACAAAGTAATAATAATTTTCTTATAATTTTTGAAAAGAATTAATTGAAACATTGTAAATCTTGAATCAATATTTTACAAGATATACAATATCCAACTTCAGTCTACAGATTCCTGCTAACACAGTACACAGTAAACCTTAAAGCTATCTTTACAAACTGACTACTCTTGATATTGCTGTTAATGTCAAATATCTATTAACTGGATTTAACACAGCATATCCTAATACAATCCACATGGAAAATAATAACAGTTTGAATTTTTTCTGGATGTACCTGCTGAGACACTGATAAAACACTTTAAGCTACATACAGGTTCATGCTGATTGTACTAGTGTTTTTATATAGTTCAAATTTCAATTCTATAAAGAATATTTGGGCATTTCTCAAGTGATACATGGAAAAGAGGATTAAGATAATGATACACAAAAGCGGAACATTTTATAAAATGGTTTGTTGGCCTATATTTCTGGAGGGATAGTTCTTAGATGCATAATCAGTATGCTAAATCGCATTCAAACCTGTATTGATGCAGGCAGGGAGCATATATTTTAGGGCTATAAAGTCCTACTTTTATGCATTCTGTAATAAATTTAAATTTTATATATTGTTTTAAAAAAACTCCACCATTACTTTCCGTGCAGACTATAATTGTAACTTATGTAATAGTTCTCTTATTGCAAATGATCTCACATATAGTGGTGATGTATAATCGGACTAATCGACCTGTACCATTAAAAGCTCCCAGCCAAACACAGAAAATAATCGGCATAGCTTTTTTCAAATATCGTTATCTTGATTTAATTCGGAGCATATTTCGTTGCTTCAGCAGATACATTATCACTATTAGAGAAGGAGCAAGATTTGATTTATAGGGACAATCAGTAGCAAATGAGTAAGATAACATTATATGATTCTGTTCTTTTCATATAATTGTCTTACAAATATAAATTGCTTCAAAATAACCAACTTAACTAACGATACACGCACTATCGTTCGAATATCAGACAAGAACACAAATATAATAGCAGTGAGTCAATTATCTTTGAGCCCGAAATGCAATACGCAACAGCAAAAGTTTCGAATGATCTAACCATTTATATCACACTGCCAAACTCAAAGTACTCCTGGAAATCAAAAGTATGAACAGTTTGTCTCTGAAAACCTCTTTGGTGACAATCAAATCAATAAAAGCGCATTTGGGTTGTTTCTACTTACATTTGAGAACGAAGTTTATAAACAAAAAAGTTTGTCTGTAAATTGCGGAGTAAATTTGCAGCAATCGGAAGGGAAGCTTGGATAAATGCAAATGAGGCATATCGAGGTGCTTTTGATAAATTGGTTGTTGAACTAAATTCTCATGATGATAGTTTTTTTTAAAAGAATAGTAACATTCTAGAATTTAGATCTAACAAATCATTTCGCGTTTTGTGGTAAACTGTTAATAGAAGTCTAAGCCAATATTGTTCATTTAATTATATTTTTATCATATAAGACAATAGAGTTTTTCTTTTCTATTTATTAATAACTATATTCGTATTATGTATTGAAGAAAGAGTTCCGCAGGCAAATACTTCCTCACCCGAATTTATTCATAAACCAAATTCTTGTAACAAAACTGCCTCTCTCATAAATATTTACATTCAAAACTCCGAAATTTTTTCTTCGTCTAATGAAAAAATCTGCGTTCCTATCAAGGAGTCATGAGATCTTAATTTTACTCAGCCAATTACAATAAGAGAATAACACCGCTATAATAAATAATAACACAGCATAGTACAAGCCGATCCAATTACATGTTATATATGCGCCGAATCGGAAGCTAAATATCCGAATAGAAAATATTCGTATCATTTGGATGTCACTCGGTGAACAAAAGTTTGGAATCGGGAAATGATCAACAATGTAGATCATGACATTTTGGGATACTTTAATTTACGTAATACGTATTACTCGACCTCTTCATAAATAAAAATATATTATTTTATTCAGGAAAAGTAGGGCTTTTTATACATGTATTTTACCGGATTGGATACCCATTTGCCTCAATTACAGCTTGTACTCTTCTTGGCATACTTTCAACCAAATTTCTTAAAACTTATGGTTCAATTGTTTCCCATTTCTCCGTAAGGTACATCCATCAATTCTTCTAGATTTCTCGGGTGAGTTGGACGTGCACGAATTCGTCTTTCCAAAACATCCCACAAATGCTCGATTGGATTTAGATCAGGGCTCTGGCAGGCCATGGAAGTGAAGTTATTAAATTTTCCTCTTTCCATTCACTAGCTGGACGATATCTGTGAACTGAAGCATTATCATCTTGAAAAAGATGAACAAAACTAGCTGGCAAATCATTTAGAAGATTTTGTTCCATTATTCTATATACTTTGGACGATTAATGGTCCAAGTACATTTTGAGTAAAACATCCCCATACCATTACTCCCTGATTACCCGATTTCATACTAGGAAGAAGAATAAACATCATATTTTTCATGTGGTCAGCGCCAAACCCATTGCCGGGAATCATTTCGGAATATTAGGTATCTCGATTCATCACTCCAAATTACTAATTCTCATTCACTACTCCAATATTTTCTTTCTGAACACCACTTTACTCGCTTTTGACGATTTTCCTCAGATACAAAAGGTTTTCTCAACCAAGCCGATCATAAAACCCAGATTCGTGAAGAGTACGTCGTACAGTTTTGGAACTAACAGAAACAGTATTGAATTTTTCAGTGATTTCGTCAATTGCTTGTTGTCGATCTTCTTTAACAATACTAATTAATATTCGAATAGCTCTATCATCCAATTTTCGTGGTCTACCGCTCCGGGCGGCAACTGTAGTTTGGTTAAACTCTTTGTGTTTATTAATAACATTATGAACAGATTTAGGTCGTCCTAAAGTATCTTCAATTGCTTTTTCGGAAAAACCACACTTCCAAGCACCAGTTCATTAGAAAGCTGAAATCTCAAGCTTTCAAACAAACTAAAAAAAACTGATGTCAAACCCAACCAATACTCGTCAAAATTGCCAACTTCCAGATTTTAAGCGTGGCGAGATAATCAATATACGTTGTAATTGAACCTTCCTTGTTGCTTGAAATTACCTCTTAATTGCGTCGAGCATTGCCCGATTCCAGACTTTTGTCCACCAACTGTACATGTATTTTTTACATGTCTTGTAATTTCATTTCCTGTCTTTCTAATTACATAAAGGCACTCACATGTCGATAGAGTAGATAAAGTCGAAATTTTGGAATAGGATCCTAACATTTTTCAATGATAAATTGCATCATTCAGGAACATTGTTTGGCATTTTAGGTCGTATTCCTTTATGGATGTCTAATACTAGACTTATATCATGATTTCGTTCACCAAATGGTTCACCTGTTACGACCTCGTACGTAACATCTCTAAACTATATATATATTTCCAGCTTTAGTGTATCGCTTTCCATTTAGCATCTATGGACTAATATAAAGAAGTACTGTACTCCATAAATTTCTTGATTAGATTTATTTAATTTAGTTGGGGCTGGTAAAGTCGACAATACATGTAGTAGGAACAGTTTATTTTTCCACGATCAGATCAGAAGTAAAAGTGCGACCACATTTTATAAACCCTCGCTTGCAAGCTAGCTATTCAACCTCGGTAAACTTTCAGAGGGATCCATTTAAAAATTGTCTTGATTTTCGCGCATTCTTTTATTAGACTGTTATCTTTATTTTTGCTAGACTATTCAGCTTTATAAACTTAAAGGTGATAAATATAGTATTCTATGCAGTAGCAGTAGTAGTTTTCTTGACAATTGGTACATTTACTACAAACATGAGTACGTATAACAATTTGAACATTTGATTTAATTTTTTTTGCAATAATAATTTTCTTGACAATTGAACCATTCACTACTTTACTTTGAAGTCAAACAAACAATGAAAAAATTTCTTATTCATAGAACTTCTATCTTTCATTTGTGTTAACGTTAGAGTAGACATTTATCAGGTGATTTTTTAGGGACTTTAATATGAACAGGAAATCAACTTGATCAATGTCTCTACCCTTATGCATATTACGTGTAAGAATTTTATACAAAAGATGATACAGGATGAAAGGCACATTACTAGATGACAGGTATTGATGTATTAACGTTGACGTTATTGCTACGTAGAGAATTGCTGCTTTTAAAATCTTATATTAAAGAAAGAAAAAGATATTTTATTTCTAATTAAAAATTGCATACATATAATTCACAGCTACAAAATCATTTGCTACTTTACTCAGCCAATAAAGGGATTTATGTTTATCCCTTAAAGTGCCAAAGCCTCGATTATACGCATTGGCAAGCTCTAACGTAGCGCGAAGATGTCCACGTTCCGCCGCCTTATGCAAAAGATAATAATAATTTAATTCACTCTTTTTAATCCCATGTCCATAATGATAATGGCATGCTAGATAATAACAAGCAGATGGGACCCGTTGTTTTGCCGCTTGTTGTTTCCAATAAACTGCGGCTTCTTTGTCAAGTACACCGATTCCTTCACTATAGCAGTACCCGAGGAGATATTGTCCGTGAGGATTATTTGACTCGGCTGCTTTCTTAAATTCTTCGAAGGATTTTCGCTTTTTGTTCTTTTTTAAATAGAATACGCCAAGAATTACTTGATTTTGCGGAGGTTGATAATTGTGATTTATTAGGTATTTGATCATTTCGGGTTCATTGGAGTTAGTTGCTGCGAGGAATCTTTTTATGGTGAATAACGTATTTTTGCTACTGATTAATTGTATTTCAATGTCAGACAGAAATTCGTTTACTGCCTTTTCATAATTCGGGAAGTTAGTTTTCTCATTATTTTCGTTGTTATTAATATTCATCTTCTCACGTATTTGATATTTAATTTTTACGTATCCTATCGCTGTTATTACGTAATACATGTACAACGGCGTTAAATTTTCCCTTATATCAAAATTGGTACGTGTACATGTGAAACGTAAACAATTGTACGATCAAAAACTACGTACGCAATCTATTTGAATGTTCAATAGGAATTCCGACACGTCAAAACCAGATAATTTTGGTGTAATTTATTTAAAGCTGTCTGCACGCGCGCAATATCTTCTCGGATATTTATAATCCGTAACATTGAATGATGCTATTTATTTGAATCGACAAGCAATCAATTGACAGTTACAGGTACGTTTAGCATACGTTAATTATCTAATTTACATGATTCTCTTGCGATATAACGATAACCTCTAATTTTAGATTTGATAACTTTCGCCAGTGATACTCGGAAATATTACATAACGATAAGAACAAAAATTAATAAAGGAGTATATTTACTAATAATAAACAAATAAAAAAATACTCACTATCGCACTTTTGAATGAGATCAATTCTACGCCATCGCGCCTGCCATTTTCTTTATCTGCTTATCGGTTCCTATGCAAAAGTATTTTAATTTCATGCAGCTTTCAAAAAATGCTCAGACTCGTCATATTTTAATTTTAAGTTGTATACAAACCGAAGTGATCGTAGGTGGAAGATTAATGCACCCCGGATAAAGACGAAGGTAGATGGATACACTACCGCGAAGGGTAGAGATGGTCACTTTTATTTCATGATTTTTTTTTAAATACACTGCCCCAGGTAAAGGTGCATTACCACGCCACGAAGGTGGATGGATGCACTACCACAGAGGTGATTACTTTTTATATTTTTAGATGCATTGCATTACCACGAAAATGGATAGATGTGTTACCACAATGAAAGTGGGGGATGTGTTAAAGCGGAGTAGTCACGTGTAAATAACCAATCCAATTGCAAAGATCCGGTGCAACATACAATTTGACCAATCCAATTGTAAGATCATGTGTAACACGCAAAATTCAAAACAAACGAAAAATTGTAGTTAGCATCTTATCTAACAAAATTTCTAACGAGTTTGATAATTAGTGAAACTATCCCGCTTTAACCTTCCCCTAATTTTTTTAATACTCTCCCCTAATTTGGGGGGACCGTTAAAGCCGTGTAGTGAATTAAGGCTTAAGTTAACTCGGATAATCATAATTATCCGGATTGACTTAATGCACATGACCTATATCTGTAACACATTCAATGATTGGCTGAATTCTGCATAACACCATCGCTATCAAAACAAAAATGTCTTTTGTTTTGTGGTTTGACCCAGAAAAATTCTGGCTGGAACTCGCACCAACGAAAAGAAGCGCCAAATACTCACTCATAACAACTAACAGCTTACGCGACCGGTTTCCAGTTTTGTTTCGTACCAAGTTTCCTGAATGTGAGTATTTGGCGTTCTTTCATTGTTGGGTGTCTAGTTTTTTCATTTCGTTGGTGCCGTCGCAAATTTCGACTAGTTTCCGGTTTGGTCTCGCACCGGTCTGTATTGAACGCCCACATTTCTGGATTGGTGGAAATATTGTATCCAAAGTCGGCGCATGAAAAATCGCAAAATGACGGACGAATCGTGAGGCAACGATATCTCGTTGATCTTCAGAATTTTGCCTGATCACGAACATTCTTCCCGGGTGTCCAGTTTCTCCGTGTTGATTTCGTCGCGACCGGATCTAGTGAGTTCTTTGGTGAATATTTGATGAAATGGGGTCTTTGGATGGAAGTGCTCTTGAAAAATCAATTTTAACAAGTCAACAACACTCAAATAAAATCTTTAATTGGTCAGTTTATTTTTGCTGTCAACAAGAACAAATGTGGGTTTATTCAAAGAATGTTAAAGCACATTGTTGCGTTATATAGTATTTTTATTGGCTATTCAATTTTGGTCACATGGTTGCAATCCGAGTCGGATTAAAAATCACGTGTAACTACACGGCTTTAACGGACCCCGTAAATTGGAAAATCATGATTTTCACTTGTGAAAAAATGAAATGTTACAACGCACGACAAAATTGTTAATATTGATAATAACCAAGAAACTATTGTCAACATAGAGTTTAATAATTCTGATAGTGATACTAATGCCAAAAGTAACTGATATCAGAAAATACATGTAATGAAACGGATACAGAATCTCAATCTGATGACAATACTTCGATCGCCTCTATACTATCTTTGCTACCTAGCATTCAACTAATCAAAGTATATTTTTCAACTAATCCAACAAAAAGGAAAAAATCAACATGCAACGAAAAACAAAACCAAAGACCAGTTATGTCATCGCCGTCGTCGTCGTTATTGCTGTCGTCGTCAGAATCGTCGTAATTGGTGCTCGAGAATCGATTCCTATCCCTATGCCCAATTCTTTGACAATTCCCACCATATCAGTTCCGTCTGAACGTCCATTTTCAGATTGAAAACTTGATTACACATGAACGAAATCGATTAATTCCTGAACTAGGTGTTTCGATAATAATATATTTATATGATCTGCCTGAAAATCGATTTTAAGTTGAGAATCGATTTTCAATCGAATTTATTTAAAGCGATTATCGCAGTTTGCAAGCCGTGATTTTCATGCTGGGAAATTTCTAAGGTTCTAATAATTGAGAATCTACGTAATAATTATGCAATCAATCACACTTTCCGATCAATGTAAAACTAAAATATTTTTCGATCAATATAAAAACTATTATTTCTCCAGGGATTGTTTATGGCTCCCCATTTTTTATATAGCCATCATACTTTCTTTACCATACTTTCACTAATATAAAGAAGCTTCGCAATATAGAATAACCGTCATATTGCAGATAAATTATACGCCATTTCAAGTCGTCACTATATGCAGGATGCTAACAAGAAATCTTTCGAAATAAAACAACTTTGACTTTTCAATGGTCTTGAATCGATTCTGGGTTGAGAATCGATTCCTATCCCTACACCCAACATGACCGAGCGCAGTTTCAAGTGTCTCGCTTCGTCCGTAGTCAATAATAACAATATCCGCTCCTTTTTTACGCAAATCATTCGTTAAATTATTACGCGTACGAGAAATAACGCGAACATTGTAATTTTTATGATCTCCTTGTAGTTAGAGGAGTGACAAATATTAGCTAATATCCATTTTGTTATAGGGACCCGCCCCCTCCTGAGATTTCGTGTAACATGCACGTGAAATTATATTAATACCTGAGATTTGGCCATCTCCTAGAATATTAGCTAATATTTGTCACTTCCCTTAGTGATGCAGATTGCTCGAGCCAAATCGCGAGCCGGATGGTTAAACTGAGCAATTTTTGTGGTTTGGCTAAAAAATAACCGGCTCACAAATGGTTCCGGCTTGTGTTCAGCGATCTGATCTGGAGGCGTGGGAGCCGATAAAAATGGTTCACGTTTTTTATTAACTTAAATTTTATATCACGTTTTCTTAATATTTGCCATAACCGTAATACTATTCTTGATCCTCAAATTAAATTAAATTGTCACTTGAGATGAATACTGTAGAAAATCGGTCTTATTTAACCAAATACTTTGAACAGAATATTCAGCATCAATTCCATATAATTCATTGATAAATACAGAAATAATGCCAAATATGACATATGCAGAACGAATTGCCAAAAAAAGGCGAAAAGTAAATGCTCTTAATAATAATACGACTGATGAACTCGCACAGTATTTAAGTGGAGCCATCTTATCTATGGATGTTGATCCTTTAGACTGGTGGAAGCTTAATAGCTCCCGTTTTCCGTACATGTCTCAATGGCCAAAGACTATCTCGCGATTCAGGCTATTTCGGTACCTTCTGAGCAAATATTTTCAAAAGCAGGTGATATAGTCCGGGCCGCCTTTCTGAGAAAAGTATACAAGCTCTTATGTGTATTAGTTCATGGTTGGAGCATGGTATTAAATTTCAAGAGTAATTAGAACTAGAACATGCTATTTACAGCAAAATGTCATTAGAAACTAGACTTACGCATATTTATTATGTATTAAAAATTCATAATAAAATTTTTTTTAACACTATTGCTATACATAATTTATATTTTAAAGTTAGAACCGCAGCTCGGTTCAGCTTATATGACTTTGTTTTTAAATGGCTCGGCTCATAAATGGTTGGCTCTAGTTCGCAGGAGCCATGAACCGAGCTAAACAAACTATTTGTAGTTCGAGAAGTGACCACGCTAAAACGTAGCCAAACCAGCAATAACCAACGGATACAGCAATCGTTCCATAATACTCACTTTCTTCTAGTGTTGATGTTTTGGTACATCGTTTTTTATTATCCAGTATATAAAAAAGAAACAAAAAGAGAAATGGTTGTTTGATTGCAGGCCTTTATAGCTTTTAATGTATAAATGAAGTTCTATATAACCTTAATAAAAAGTTTGTACTTCATTCCCACATGTGAACTTAATAATCTTTAGAATCGATCTCGTATTCTCACGAATATCATCGACTTTTACTTTCGCGTCGCTTAATCTGGCGTTGCACTTTGTGTCAATAATGGTTCATATATAAAATGTCGCAATAATTTAATTTAGTTAGAAAAATGATAATTTCGAATTTCTTTTACGCGTGCCTAAATTTCTGAGACATAATAATGATGATGTCGCTAATGATTTTTAACTTTAACAAATCTTTATAAATTCTCGCTTTAGCATAGGATAATACGTATGTTTCTACACCTATTTACGTCACACAACAACTTGTGGTGGAATCACCGGTTGTGGACCTTCTATTGGCTAATTTTCTTTAAATTTATTAACCAATCATTAACGTTAGATTTTTAACGAAATCACCAACCTCTGCTCTGGAGGATATCGAACAGAAACTCCTGGAGATATCGAACAAGACCTTCCCAACTCTGGGAGATATCGAAAATTCTCTCCTCTGTAGACAAATTATTGGCTAAACAAGCCATAAAGGGCACAAAAAAAGTTGCCAAAAATGTAACTTCTGCTGTAGCCACTGATGACCCAGTAAAGCTTTTGTAAAGCAGAGTTAGTTCCTTAGTAAATCAGTTGGTGCAGCTTTAGCTTCTGGTGTTCACACTTTGTTATATCGAGGTTTAACTATATTCTGAATTTAATGAGAAAGATGGAATGTTATCCACATCCTATCGCTATATACTCTGCAAAAATACTCCAAATTTAATTCCCGTTAATGATAAATCTCACATTGACGGATTCAAAGACTTGTTCTCCGTTTATATTCCCCTGAACCGTGTGAATGTAAACAACGATAAGGTATGTTGTGCAACCTGTATAAATGGTGTGCAGAATGTGCAGATTAATTACTGCACATAGCTCATGTATACTGATACATAAACTGTGTACAGCCTGCACATTCTTTATACGTGTATAAATGTGCTAGACGTATAAATAAAATGTCTACGTATAGTATTACCACGTGATTTCATTATATACCGATACAGTTAAACCTCGATAGATAACGAAGCAGTTAAATTAATAAATTTGATAAACCAAATTTACTAAATGTTTTTCTAATACCCCGTTATATCGAGGTTTGACTGTATTTCGAATTTTAATGAGCAATATGTGAGAGATGGAATGTTGTACACATACCGATACTCTGGAAAAAATATACAAATCTAATCCAAAATTGGATTTAGACTTGTATCCCCCTAAAATGTGTAGATGTAAACCCTGTAGAAAATTTAAATCTAACATCGTCCGATCTTTACTTATTTTTGAATAATTCAAGATTCTCTTTGGTTTAGTATGAGAAATCGGCCATCTTAAGACGTGAAAAATGATTGAAGTTTAATTTTGGAGATTCATTCAATTTTTAGAATTTTGTTATGATTTTTGTCTGTGTTTAATAAATCTTGTTAAATTTAAGCCTTGATTTGGTCTGATTTTTCCAGTAAAACTAATTACGTTTCTACAGAATTAATAAGATTCGATTCACAGTGCAGTTTTTTTTAAAGAGTTTTTTACTAAATTAACATCTTTGAGATTAACTTAAAGTTTAAATTTTCTTAATATTCTATTCATCACTATTGACCTATTGTGAGACCAGTTAAACATCTTGCAGACCGTTTCTTCAGTTAAGTGATCCGTGCATCTAGTAGCTTGTCTGAATCTACAATGTACGTAATACCAAATATTTGTTACATTAAATATTAAAAATATTCTTGCCCCAACGTATTTCACGTTTTCCCCATCATTTTATTTCTAATAAATTATAAAATTATGATAAAAACCAAATGAGAAATACAAAATAATATTAACGATTAAAAATACCGTAACTGGTTGGCTATTCTTTGGACGGAAGAAGCAATACGCTCCGAATAAAAATAACTACCACATTTGTATTTACGTAGTCCCTGCATCTTAAGAAAATTGCACAATTGTGACAGCTAAATTACCATATTAGTAGAACAATCAAATTTCAGAAAAATAATGATTTATATTTATTATATTTCTTAATTATTGCATGAATAAAAACTGAACTGATTTAATATTAAACGATTTGTACGTGCATTCAGTTATAAATAATAAGATATACTGTTGACACTCGTTAAACCGAAGTCAAAAAAAAAGGAAATTTATCTGTTTATCGAGATATCCGGTTAAAACCTGTCGCATTTATGATTTCTCAAATAAATTCGATTGATTGATATTATCGTTATACAGAAATTTATAATTGAAAATTCCTTCACACCAAATCTGGCTTAGTGCAATTCCGGTTCAACTGTATATTTGATCAATGCCGAATATCCAATTGTAAGAAAATATTAAAGCAAATTAATGTTACTGAGAAATTGTTTTTCGTCATTTGAAATATCTGATTTTTTATTAATGAAATATAATAGCCAAATTTCGACATAATGAAATACAAGTTTGTCAAATTGAATTTTCATTTTCGTTCGCTAATTACCGTTATTTATCGTTAGAAAATACCGTGCCGGTTTATTATTTAAAAATAACACGAAAATATACATTCAGGAGAATGGTTCTGTGCATATATTTGCTACATCACCCTGATAACGCTCATATCCCAAACAAATAACAAATACGTATTGTGGTACTCGTACATTGATAGGTATTTTTTTTTTGACTTTCATCTACGTATAAATTACTGTTTTAGATTTAAGAACATTAATATTATCTTCATGCACGGTGTGAGGAAAAAAAATAGTTGCATAATACTTGTAATATGATATTTACTGCAATGTAATGCAATATAAAAATAAGCTCAATTACATATTAAACATGGATTCGTTTACTCGTATTTGTCCGATCTAAATGAGTTGATTGATAATTTGATTGCAACAAGCTTTGAATTCTACTCGTAACATGTATAGAAAAACTTGTTAGAATATATTGATCTTTCAACAAAATAAGAACACTGATTTGATCGATAATGCAATATATATTAATCTTATAACAATTAGCTTGATTTTTGTTATAAAAGAACTTCAAGTTTGTAAGAAAAAAACAGAAAACTCCAAAAATCAAAAAAATTTTAAATCTCAAAAATGAACTCAAATAATAATAACACACTACGATATTTTTACTCAGGCAATGAGGCTGCTACTCGGCTTGATGAATTGTACCAAATGGAACAACATAACGAATCTATCGACATTTGGTCCGATTTCGTTGACGGTTCCTATCTTCCTATATTAAATGAAAAAAACGTCTTGCTTGATTCAGATCGCAGCTTTGACTCTGAAATTCCAATAATAGAGATCGAGTTCACACCTGATTTGCCCAACCCCTCGACAATTGATAACGATAATGAAATGCCACAGGTCGATCAACATTTAGAGAACCAACAAGACGAAGATTCTTCAAGCACACCACCCGAATCATAAGCAAATAATATATTGTGCTTGTAGCCAAGCTTATAGCAAGAAATTTTTTTATTAATCTAAAATTTTATGGTTTAAGTTATTATTTTAAATTCTATAATTTAAGTTCTTTTCTCGCTAAGGTTTTTCTCATTTATGCTATATTATTCTGTGTTTCATTAATTTCTGTTTGAATTTTATTAGGTTTGTTCTGTTTCTGTCGCTCACATATATAGTGAGTTCACTTTTTACTCGTTCTTTCGGTTTTCCTTGTTTATATCACCGATTACACTCGTATTCTTGCGCATAGAGATATTTGTTACTCGAAGTTCTGATTTTTCTTTATATTTATTAATTCTGAATTCGTATTTAAGTACTGTGTTTTTTGTTTCTTTTCTTAACGTTAAGAATCAATTCCTTTGTCAAATCATAGGATAGTACAAACTTTTTTTGGATTAGCACATTTGAATTCAAATACGTATACATGTATATCGATATGCATATCGATATTTTACAATTTCAAAGAGATTTATCATATAGCCAGAGTCGCGCTACTTGGACGATCAAAAAAACGAAACTTCAGTTGTTTCAAATTGTTGAACACTTTCCTAAATAATTACTAGAAACTTCTAAATAAAAAAGTGTTTATTATTAATCTTTCACCAAAATTTTGGTACGAAATTTAAAAACTCGCAAATATGCGAGAAGGTCCTTATTCAAATCAAAACCATCTGATTTAAGAATTATTTTGTGGGGAAGCGAAATTCCTTGATAAAACTATGGAGCATAGCCGTGTCATAATATTTTTCTAATGTACTGTATATTTGAAACTATGTAATAAGAAATATGCTAAGAAATGTGCATTACAAGCAAGTATTTACCTTAGACGTTGAATTTTATTGATTTGATTTTGTTTCGAACACTTTAATTAATCAATAGTTTTGTAATTAATTAAACTTTTTTAAACCTTAAAAATATTAAATTATTTTCTTCAGAAGAACATCTTGATAGTTCTAGTTTTCTTATTACCTTTAATAATTCGATATTTTTTCTTGGAATATCTTTTTAATATTTCGGTATTTTTATATGTAAACTTGGATGATTTTTAACGAGTCATATTTTAATTTTAATTATGTGGTATTTCTTGGGCTTGAATACTAAAAAATTCAAATAAATACAGGTATACCTCTATATATGAACATAATTTCAAAACTTAATGATTAATATTGTATTCTTTGTATAAGAACAATCATTTATTCCTGGCCCGATCATGTTCTTATAAAGTGGAATGACTGTAATTCGATTTTCTCATTGTAAAAATATTACATCT